TGTCCCTAATTTTTTTCACAGAGCTTCTCACTCTCTTGTGTTAATTTTCTATCATTTCTGATTCTATTTCCCTGTATCAAATAATGGTGTTTCCCTGCCTTTCAGAAAAGCTTTTCCAGGAAAATCAAAGCTTAGAGTTGACATTCCAGTAATGTACTTTATAAACAACACTTACAAAAGGAAATGCAAGGTGAGTTGCAGAGCACATTGCCAGGCACAGAACAACTGCAGTGCTTTAGTGGCTTCCACTGTAGGCATTCATTAAACATCAATAAAGATGATTCCAATTAGTCTTGTTAGTGTGTTAAATCTCACAGATAAAATACTTGCATTTTACAGTTAGTGGATATTTTTATGTAAGTGAACACTTTACCATCTCTAAAATCAAATCACAGAGTGCCTTCACCTACTGGCTGCATTGAACCTATTCATGCTCTCTGACTAATCAACCATTCCAACTATAAGGGCAACTTCCATGAGCTAAATTAAAATTAGAGACCTTATCACTAGACCTAGGTTCATTTAATTTAAGCCTATTATTAAACCTCTCTCTTTTAAAAATGTATGACTTGAAGGAAATCTCATTAAACCTCATGGAAAGGCTAAAGCAAACTCTGACTGCGGAGTCAAACAGAAATGGGAACATCAGAAATGGGTATGATAAAGTTTAAATTACAGGTGATAAGAAAATGAAACCAAACTCTAAATGGAGTGATTCTGTTATGCTTTTTAACCTCTTTGTTAAAATCCCTTGAGTACATATACTAATATATACATACATACATACATACATACATACATACATCATATTATCCTAGAACTCACAGAGATCCACCTCCCTATGCCTCCCCAGTGTTAGGATTAAAGTTGTACACCAACAATGCCCAGTCTAAAAATTGATCAATTTTTAAGTGTATGAAACATGAATAATGAGATGATCTCATAAAATTGTTTCCAAGTCCCACTTGCACGAATCGAAAGTTCACAATGGCGTTGTGATATAACCATGTCTGAAAGTTATTAAAACTTATAATAGATATCATAAGGAAATCTACAGGAGTTCAATGAAAACTACTGGATTCTACTTTCCTCAACAGCAATTGACTACTTCTATTTCCTCATCTAGAGTGGGAGCATTTGTAATCTCTTCTGTTCACATTGTAACATCAACAATTGTCACACTGGTCTTGTTCTGGCAATTTTATTGTTGAAATTTTGTTAGCATATTTCCTCTGTCATGCTGAGGAGACATTATCTAGCAAAATGTATCATGACCCTCTGGCTCTTAAGATCTTACTGTTCCCTATCCTACAATTTTCCCTAACTTTAGGTATAAAGTTTGAATTACACATGAATCAGTGGGGAGAACAAACTCTTGTATAGGATATTTAATCTTTAGAAGTTAGCCCTGGATACATAAGCACACATATAGTCACAAGAAGAGATTATTAATTTGTGAGTGTGTATGGGGAAAGCTTGACTTTAACAGCTATAGAAATCAGTGTGATAGCTCCTTAAGAAGCTAGAAATAGATTTAACTCAAGGCCCAGCTATACAAGCTATGCAGCTATACCAAAAGGACTCTACATCATACTACAGCGTCACTTGTTCAATCATATTTCTTGTTGTTTAATTCATAAAATCTAGAAACTGGAAACAACTGAGATATTTTTCAATACGTGAATGGATAAAGAAAATGTGGTACATTTACAGAATAAAATATTATTCAGATGTTAAAAATTCATAAGAATTCTCAGAAAAATGGATGGAACTAGGAAAAAACAAACAACATCATACCAAACAAAGCATCCCATAATAAGGTATCAGAATCCTAAAATGACAAATATGGTATGAATTCTCTTCTGTGTGGGTTTTTGCTTTTAAGTTTTTGTTAAGTATGCTACAATGTGAATAACCACAGAGGTTGGGTTTAGAGGAAAGAACTAAGACAGAGTGAAGGATCCCCCAAGAAAGAGTAAATGTAATATATAATAAGATAGAAATGAGCCGGGCGGTGGTGGCGCACGCCTTTAATCCCAGCACTCGGGAGGCAGAAGCAGGCGGATCTCTGTGAGTTCGAGGCCAGGCTGGACCGACAGTCTCCAAAACAATACAGAGAAACCCTGTCTCGAAAAACCAAAAAAAAAAAAAAAAAAACAATAAGATAGAAATGAATCGGGATCCTGGAACAGAAGGATTGAGTAGAGAAGATGAAAGGAAAAGGGACTGAGGAGGGAATATGGGGAATGACAGGAAACACCGAGGGCCGTTTGAGGGGTAATATGAAAACCTAGCACTATAGAAGCTTTCAAAAAAGATACATATATGAAAAAAATTTAAATGAAATCACCAAATAACAAGGGAGACAAAGCCCAAGTGAAAACCTCAAGTGTCAGGGATGAGTTATATATAATTTAGTTATTGACAAAAGGGGTTCTATGAACTCCCAAACAAGTCAGACCATTGCCAAAACTATTGTTTTATCTCCAGAAACTAAGGGTAAGGCCCCATTGCTGAAGAAAACACCTGTATATCTCCTTGATCATAGAGAAGTTGAGCTGGTTCCTACCTAGAGCCTTCCCCACCACTAATTAGGATTCATGATACTGGAATATATTCTGCATGGTTAACAGGAAGAGAAAAACACCAAGTCTGCTCCAAACCCTTTGGTCTATAATAGTGACCTGCCTGAATGAAACACTTCCTCACTAGTTGCACAAATGTGGTAGTAACCAGTCACCACCTGATTGGTCTTAGGTGGTACTCCATGAGATGACACCCTATTCATGTGTCTAAGGACATAAGAATAGACACTTAAAGTACCTAGGACAAATACTATTGTTCAGCTAAAGGAACATAGCAATAAAATGACTCCAAATGACATTCTGCTATACCCTTAAGCCAGTCTCTCTCACTAGGCCATCATCAGAGAAGCATTCTTCTGCAGGAAATGAGCACTAGAATAAATACAATTGAACAATGTATCGAGACTGAGAGACTTTGGAACACTAAGTCCTAGAATGGGATGCCTTCATCAAACCCCTCACCTTGGGACTCAAGGAGTTATTCAAATGAGGAGATGGAAAAAGTTTAAGACAGATCTCAATTAAAAATCTAATATGCTGTCTTTGTACTTTTCTGACAGAGTATGTCCTTCTGTTTTTTGTGAATATATGTTTCTCTTATTAGCTGATGAATATAGCTGCTTCAGCCAATAGACAGGTAAAATTTCACCAGGCTGGAAATCCAGACATGGTTAGAGAAAGGTAATAGACAGATTCTGGGAGATGTCATGTAGCTGCCTTAGGAAGCCAGGTACCTTCATCACTGCTAAGCCAAAACCAAGAGGAAAGACACAGATTAATATATGTGGGATAATAATTACAAGGGAGGTAGCCAATGAGAAGCTATTTGCTAAACAGTTAATAATAAATATAAGTGTATGTGTGTTTATTTTGGACTTAACTGCAACAGGACCACCCCGGACAGAAACATTCATCTACATGTGGTACCCAAACATTTGGCAAGAATTTCCATTTATAACAGAAACTGGGAGCCCATTTCCCATGGAGAGATACTCTCTTAGCCTAAGTACATGGGGAGTGGCTATAGAACCTGCCTCAAATGACTCCACAGATTTTCATGGTCTCTCAGGAAACACCTCACCCTCCCTGGGGAGTGGATGGTGGATGGTGGATGGGACAGGGAACTGGGGGGGGGGCATGAGAGGATGGGAGGGAGAGGAAACGGGATTGATATGTAAAATAAGGTCTTTTTAATTAAAAAAAAGAGAAAGAAAAGTGTAAGAACCAGAGGGGATGGACAACACCAAGGACCCAGCGTATTCCAGACACAGCACGACTGACAGGAGAATTAACTCACAGAAACTGTGGCATCACACACAGGGACTGCACAGATCCAAACCAGAATGGGTCCCAACTCTGAGACCGTAAAGTAAACATGAACCCCAATCCCAAATAAGAAGCTATCTCCAACTGACAGCTGCTCACGAATTCCAAAGGAAAATTAGCTTTCTCCATGGGAATCTTATTGGGTACACTTGTAGGTAGCTCTCAAGCCCAATAGTACATGACCAAAGCAAAATGAACTCAGTTGTGTGTTCTTTGTCACATACTGGTATTTTTTGGACATCTTTATTTTCCACTGTGTTTTTTTATTTTGTTTTGTTTTTGTTTTTGTTTTTTCGGTTTTACAAGACAGGGTTTCTCTGTATTGTTTTGGAGGCTGTCGGTCCAGCCCAGCCTCGAACTCACAGAGATCCGCCTGCCTCTGCCTCCCGAGTGCTGGGATTAAAGGCGTGCACCACCAGTGCCCGGCTTTTCCACTGTTTTTTGTTTGTTTGTCTGTCTGTATATTATGGTTCCCATTTTTTGTTTGTATGAATTCTATTTTTTTTTATTTCTCTCTGTGTGTATATTGTAATTTTTCACTATTTTATTTATTTATTATTTCATTCTGGTTTGTTTGTTTTTTCTAATTTTCTTGTTTATTTCCTAAGAGAGGGGAAAAGAGGGCATGGAATGGGTGGTTGGTGAAGTGAGGTTGGAAGGGTATGGGAGGATATATGGGAGTGGAAACAATGGTCAGAATATACTGCATGAATTTTCAATTAAAAATTAAAGTAAAAAGGAATACTAAATTAAATATTGTCACTGTCTGAATTAAAACAGTATGATCAAATACTAGACTCATTCCTCTGTTAGTGAATTCAGACATGATAAATAGGGTTCCTTCATGTTAGAAGAGATCTTAAGTACTCTAAAGCTTAATAAATCAAATGTGCTTGTATTAAAAAAAAAACAGTTCCTCACTTAGTGGATGTTTGTCACGTGAAAGAACATATGCGACCAAATACCACTACCTGTGCTGCTCCATAACATTCCTTTATACAGGTCAACATTCCACTTACATGGCAGTATGATAAGCAGAATATGTGCATAATAGGTAATAAAGTAATAGACATTGGCTAACTGACTTACCCTTGAATTAACCACTTCCAGTGAGATGTTCTGTGGTGGAGCTCCAGGCACTGAAAGCAAATAAACAAGATCTGAATGTTATTGCCAAAGGCTTGAAAATGAAAATACACACCAATGATGAAAAGAGAGAGTATATGTTTTTTCAAATTTTATAATAAGAATTCAGTAAGATAAGACCAGCAGGTGGCCCTTTTCAATTTTCCTAGAGAGAGGAGAAATAAACATTTGTTTGTGTCCCATTAGGTGGGTCAGTTAGTTATCTGTCTATGGAGTCCTCAAAATTATTTTACAAAGAGCACCAGCTGTGGCAGCAAATACTGCCACCTAATTATAGCTCAGTGCTAACCTTCCTGCCGGAACCTATGAGATTTTCTGGAGTGGTTTTTAAGGATCATCATACTGCGCTTTTCAGGATCTGCATAGTTTTATTGTGGAATATATCATTGTAATAGACACCTGGGTTGCTTAATTCCTATAATGCAGTCATTATTGCCTCCTAGAGATGAACAAAAGGAAATGACTCCTCATTTTTAAGCTATTTATAATTAAATTTGTATGACATAGAAGCAAGCAGATTACCCAATATTGTTTGGCCCATAGATTTTATTAACAAAAAAAAAACAGTTAATTTTTCTTTGGACATTTTCTAGCTACTTTATTATTTTTTCTGTATTTAATATTTCTTTAAACTTTTATGTTAAAAAGAATATATACAGCCCTCCTTTGTTAGTTGTGATGAAGATTTACTATATACAAAGTGTTAGTCTACTTCCATGTGAGCAATTTGCAGACAACTATTGACTGGGAAGCTGTTATGTGTCTAGAAAGGTTCTAATGCCAGTGTGGAACTGTAAGTAAATAAAGCTCCTTGTACTCCATAGGGTCGAAACAGTTAATAACTTCTCAGCATCACTCATTTAATAAGTAAGTCACTTTTATTTTCACTTTAGACACATTGGTGAGCAAGACAGAGGTGGGCTACTCATGCATTTTCACAACTCACTGGGTCATTTGTGTGGCCATGTTTCCTCTTCCTTTCATGCAAACTGGATGGTTTCCGTAGTATTTCACAATTAACCAGCATCTGACTCTGACTTCAGTTATGCCCTATATTGATTTCTGCCTGAAAATTATTTACCATCAGGACAGGCTGTATGCCTGACTAATTTCTGCCTTCTTCAAACTGACAACCAATTAATATGCATTGAATCAGTGAGTACAGAAGAAATGAAGGCCTACTTAGGCCTGGTTTCTGGGTCTTTATTAATATGATGGAAATTGCAATAATTTGATTTACTTTGATTTGAACCTTTTATCTTGGTGCTTGATAAAGATTGTAGCCAATGCCTTCTGTGGTAAAATACGAGTAATATGTGTATGAATTAAGACACTATGCAATCTTTAATAATATACCATTATTCAGTGAACACTGCAGATGTTGTTAGTTAATGCTATGACTTTGAACTGAGCAAAAAATGCAACTTTCATGTGGGCAAATGTTTTCCAAATTTTAATGTTTTATCATCAACACAGAGGATACTGTTTGGCTTACATGCAAATTCAGGATGCAGATGTTGAAATAGTAGATTAATTTATAGAATTGTTATGACAGTATAATGAATGTTATTTTAAATCCAGAACTTCAGATACAAATTTTGCATTCCCAATGCTTAAACCAAAATATAGGTTAAATTTTTATATATTAATTAGTTTTATTTAGCTTGTCTGAATGTAGCTAACATATTTATGGCAGCAATTACATCTTAACTTTCACCATTGGTGAGAATTAAGTATAACATTGCTCTACCTCACATAATTTCAAAACTTCCAAAATATATTTTGTTTTAAAACCAAACTTTGTAAATTATCTCAGTCAGTTATGGTTTGAATCTGTAGCAACCACCATTGATGGAATTTTGGAGGGGAAGGTGTGTTACATTTTTTAATTGGTTGGGAACATGTCTGTAAGTGATGTGTTACCCTGAAATGTCATTTTAAATATTGATAATAGTTCATTTCAAGCTTCTAGTATGCCAAAAACACACTGTGGAGATCAACAGGTATAACTATCACAATTTTAAAGGCATCAAATTTATTTTTATTAAATATTGTAAATTGATATAACAAAACTCCCAAAGTCTTTACTTTGATTGTGTTGACTTATTTTGTCAATTTTTCTATAATAGAAAATTCCCTTACTTTCCAATGACAGCACACTGACTATTTTGCTGCAGACAACTGGAGAATTCTTTTTCAGTATTTCAGTTACCAATCAACAATAGACAGGATTAGATGTCTATATCACATGGCTTCACTCTGCTGTCATTTTTTACTATTGTTGTTGTTAGATGGTTTGTTTGTTGGTTGGGTTTTGGTGTTTGCTCATTTGAGGTTTTCAGTGTATCCAGGATGACCCAAAATTTGTTATCTTCAAGCTTCTACCTCCTAAGTTCTGGAATCATAGGTACATAACACACACTTATGTTTCTGATGCTTTCTTTTGACTTAGTTTTGTAGTTTGTAAAGGAGTAAGTATTACAAAAATCATGGGAAAAGTGGATGACGGCTTGTATCAGAAAGTACCCATAAATACTAGTTATAACACTAATGAGCATAGATGTATACTTAGTTTACCCATTAAATTTTCTCTGCTCTTGGAGGTAAACCTGGAGAGATTTATTAGTTTATTTAGAACAGTTAATAATAAAAATTTAATGCAAGTACTTCAAGAAAAATCAGTTAGAAAAAATATATAACTACATAGTTTTAGTCAAGGTAAATAATTTGAATATGTTAGAGATATGTGTCATTGCTAATCAATGGCACATTAGGGTGAAGAATTTACATATAAAAGTATGCCTATATATTAAGATAGATCTAAATTATAAATTGAAGGTAATTTGTATAAAAGTATTTTCAAGCAACGTAGGGGACCCTGATAATCATTTGCACAGTAATTTTGTCATACACATTTTTGTTTGTGTCAGTATAAATTTTATGGGATAGTTCCTTCACCTATTAGCCTCAATAAAACATGGAATTCATTTATATGTAGATACATATTAAATCAGTTGTTTCCAAAAGGAGAAATCCTACAATTCACCTTTATAGAAAACCTTTGTTAAGTTTTTTGGTGCATTTCCCAAGTTGGAAAAGAAACACATAGGAAGACATAACATTATCCTACATGTTTAATGGAATAAAAAAACAAACATATATTGGCATAAAGAATAATTATGAGACACTATGCCATTCATTAGTTTAGCGTGTTAGCCTATTTAATTTTTACTTATAGTACAAAATATCAAAGGAGACCAGTGCTGAAGAATTGAAACAAGAGAGCATTTTATCTAAGGCATTCCATCTAAATGTGATACATTTAGCTTCAGCAGTGAAGAGAAAACATTAGATGAAGGAGGCAGAAGGGAACTGGATAATGTCAGGGTGGAAGCCAGGAGCACTTGTTTTACTAAAAACTAAAGAAGGTGAATTGATTATAAGTGAGGTTATAGACGAGCTCAGGATGCCCACACAAGAGTCCCTCAGAGTCCCTCCTTTCTTTTATCAAGTGCATCTGATAAAGAAAATTTGTGTATCTCCAACAATGATATTTATATGGGACTATGGTTATGGAGTTCCTTTTAAGTGACAGATTTTTTTCTATGCACACAGCATTTCCAGGAGATAATTCTAAGACTAATGAATAACATTCTATCTTTCTCACTTATGACATTTAAAATCAAAGGGGAGAATAAGGCCACAGTATTACAGTTCAGAGTGTGAATGAAATCTACATAAATTATGTAAAATATTCATTTTCATTTGTTTTTCTTTTATTTTTATAATTATAAGCTATGAAGTAATTTATTCAGTCAGTGCGTGTTCTGTTCTGTCTTGAATAACAGAATCAGGCAGTTGGGTAAAAGAATTACATTAAAATTAATACTGAAGTGGCCTAACAGTAAAACACCCCTTTGAGGGAAATTGCAAATGAGCATCACTCCTGTGTTACATCCTTAAAAACACGCATGTCTTTTATCATGCTATTGATATTCTGTGTAGTAGCTACCTCAATACTTTCCCAGATTAAAGAGTGTTAGGTCAAAAATCAGAAATTGACAGCATTTCCAAATATCAATAATTTATAGAACTAAACATAATAACAGGGAACCCATGCTGACCAGAGCTGGCTCTTGATATGATTTAGTATTCATGGGAGCCATCTCTGCAATTCCAACCCTGCCTGAATCTACATCGTCCCATTCCACATCATACACCAGACTGTAACATTTATTAAATTTCGTAGGCATTCATTATCATGCGTTGCTTTGGTCTCCAGTTTCTTCTGACAGTATTTGGTTTAATCCATTATCTTCATTACGATTGCTTGCTCTCCTTTAATCCATTTAAAAACTACTCCTAAACTTCCTTTTAGTTTAGGCAAGATAAAATGAAGGTGTTCATGCTCATGCTCACTTCTAATATTTTATGTGCATATTTATTTGGTAAAAATCCTTTGGGGATGCTTTCAATTAATTGATCTTTTCATCATTTATACTTTTAATCATCTGCACCATTTTAAATTTTAAATGAAAGGTACATACCTATATCAGTCTACTCACACACATAACGAATGTGTTTACTTTGGACCATATATAGAAATGAATAAATATATTCACAATAATAATTTAAGCTATTACACAGAAGCCACAGTTTGTTGGATTATCCATTAATCCATCTCAATTCAGTGTATACACTGAAATAGAAAATTTAAATTTGGCTACAGTAATGTGAATAAGTTGCCTACATTTCTGAATTATAATAAAACATTGCAAAGAATACTAGTTCAAAAAAAGCTTCAAAACAGAATCAATTATATATAGCAACATTTTTTTCATTTCATAACAGATATGTGAATAAAATTACACTGTTTTGTCACTTACCATCAGAAAGTGTAACCACTGTTATATCGTCAGTAGATACTCCTGGTCCATAACGATTATAAGCTAAGAACCGAAGAGTATATTCCGTGAATTTTTTCAGGCCTTCCAGTTTATAAGATAGTCCATCAACCTCTATATTCTGCAGACATAAAATGCCAGAATCGTTATTAAGGTAGCACATTAAAGCAGAAATGGCAATCATTTCGTGCAATCAGTGAATTGGATGTTAGATACTTGCTCATAGAAGCAACTCTATCCCTTTAATGAATTGCTGTAAAACCATCCTTGTGTCACACACTCCTCTACTAAAGTCGACGATACTCTGCAGACTCCATGTTAAAACATCACCATGTGATTTTTATAGTTATTAAATTTTGATTTGTTTAACACCACCCAGAGAACTGAATAGTATGGGCTATTCCACTCAAATAGAAAAAAACAAAAATTCACTCCTGTGTCTCAAATTGTCATTTGCTTGATGGAATATATCCACAGATACTGGAACTCTCTTACAATTTGCCACAGATTTTGTGTCCCCAAATGCTGTAGTGTATATTGAATCTATCCTTAGTACTCCATAGCTCCAGTGGGGAGCTACTGAAGGCAAAGGTCACTTTAGGAATCAGACCCAGTGCTTTCTAAAGTAGATGTTGTTTAGTTCTACACCATGATTTCCAGATTACCACTATCAACATTAGGCAATATACCTCTTGAATTATTTGAAACGAGCTACAGAAAGGCTTGTATAGAATTGAATGGAGGAATACATTTTCAAAGCAAGTGTTAAGAGCAACATGGGAACAGCCAAGGAAAAAAAGCAGAATAATTGATTACATTACAACAATTCATCAAATACTGTCTTAAAAAATAAGAAGTACACCTGAAATATTACTATTTAAATATATGACAAATTTGTTTCAAATGACAAATCCTGATAAGACATTTTATATGGAAACAGGAAAACCATTCTCTGCTTGGTAAACTTTACAAACAATAGGCCAAGACCACTTTTCCTTATCCTTAACTTTTCTCTCTCTGTATACTTACATCTTATCCGGGTCAAAGATGGTAATTTGGAAGAATCTCAATAGTTGCCCATATGACTATACATATACATTATCAAATGTTATTATTACATGTTACTTGTTTATCCACATTATTTGCTGTGACTCTACTTGTAAAACTCATTTGTCTCTTTTTGGTAATCTATTAAAATCACTATTAAAAATATAAAAATCAAGTAAGCTTGGAGAGAGTAAACTTCTAAGACTAAGTTAGAAAACAGTTGGTCACAGCATGAAGGTGAAGAGGAGACAGAGCAGCATGAAACATCTAAGAGTGAAAAGAGAAGATTGGACAAGGCCAATAAACACAAAGCAGATTATTTTTAGGTTGAGTGAGGAAAAGAAGTATCTTTAGGAATAGGATTTGGCAACCTACCCTGGCCCAAGCTACTATAGTAAAAGCCCAAACAAGCATTCTCATTATGAACTTCACCCCAGAAGTTCATCAGAACACTACAGCAAAATGGTTTAAATTTTCCAGTAGAAAGTACTTGCAACCAACCAGATATTCGATGATCATGCTAAATGATGAACTGTTACAGTATCTGGTAAGTGCCCTGTGCCTTTGCCCTTAGAGACATCAGGGAATGGAAGTGATGCAGCTCCTTTCTTTTACTCACCTGTTCTTTTCCTGTAGACACTTCAGTGCAGAACAATCTATAACCTTGGACTGGACCATTTGCATAGGCAGGGGGTTCCCATGTAATAAGAATTGAGGTAGGTGAGGTAGATACAGCATGCAGGTTTTCTACTGGCCCTGGAACTTGCACTGAATACAAAAGAAATTGATGCAGATAAGACACGTTGCTTTCTCAAAACAAACAAATATGTACTCTGTTTAGTTAAAAAAATAAAGGAATCTGTACTGCTTCTAGTATTATATGGGACAATAATGTTAATATATAGTAAGAAAGTACAATAAGGAAATCTTGTAATCAATTTTGTTTCAAGGGAAAGATTATATAAAATTGAATTGCTAATTTTATTTTACAGTTAATGAAAGAAAGAAGTAAGATTCTTATTCTAAACTTTTAATCTATAAATGTTTTCATTCTCTTAATAGGCTTTTGCATGTATATTGCTAACACCCACACAAGGAAAATGAAAATACAATAGCATCTTTGATTATGATTCTTTATTTAGATAAACAACACACCTATGCAGAATCCATGCCATTGTGTTTAGATCAGCAGTTTAGCCTGTAGCTGATTCTGGGTCCTTTAATTTTTGAAAATGATTTGATTTTTAATCCACCTTTTCCTTCTTCTCTCATTACAATTACTTAATGATAAATAAATTGTTTAATAATGAAATTCTTACTCAAAACACTTCTGTTCAATTGTGTTTGAAGACTCATAAATTATCAAATTTCTCTGTAAGTAAGAGCAAATATTTTTCTCTGGATTTTCATTTAATATTATGATGGGCAAGAAGATTCCTATTTTACATGCTCCATGATTAACTATTATCTTCAACTGTTTTGGGGGTTCATATTGTTCCCATAGAAACTGTAAATATTTTCTTTACGTTACATCATCTGTCCTTGTAACATATCCCTTCATTTATTTGAACTTTTCTTCTTTTTTCTTGCATAATATTACCCTGGATAGTCTTGATTTTGCACTCATCGTAAAATCAGCTTGCTTTCTAAATCTTTCTGCTTCTTTTTAGAAGCAATGGTATTGAAAACAAAGTTTTTAATGTGAAATATTTCCATTACTGCTGGGGTGTCAAGAGCTCTAGGTCCTATTAGTGAACAGTGCTAAGAAACCTGCATATAAGCAAGAATATACTCATATACGCTCATATGTGTATGTACACATGCATATATATACACATGCATGGACAGCAATGCTCCCTTTATGTTCTTTTCAGAGGTATTCCAGTCCAGTGAGCATTTTTCTATGGCAGTGTCCTTCTCTCTATACACAGTTTAAGCAACACTGCTGTCAATCAGAGGATATTACCTTGTGTCACAGTTTATAGTGTAAGAATAGCAATAGAAGCAGGAGTTATATGTGATTTTATGAGTACTTAAATATTTATATGAACAATGGGGATATTTCAAGAGTGTTCCTTTCTGAATTACAATCTGTTGTTCCTCAAATGAAAAAAAGTAAAAGACAGGAGCCAAACACTAGGATGATTGATTTGGTTAAGACATGTGCTAAGTAGGCAGTGTTTAAAATTTTGAGACAGATTTTAAGGAGCTCAGTCTTGGTTTCCCAGGGCAAATTAAATCTAGGAACCTCGGAGACTTACACATGTGCAAATGATTAGTTTCTTCTCAGTTGTCTCACAATGGATTAGAAAGAAATGATCCACATGCTTTCGATATTTCAGTGAGTAGATTTTTTTAAATGAAGTTTCTTTTCGCCTCACCCATTGGGTGTTAGGTGACAAATTTGCAGAAAAACAAAGTATGAAAGGTGAGGGCTACACATATTCTGGGATTAGTAACGTGGTATGAGAAGTTATGCATCACTCTTCTCATCCAGAGTGGAGCACATAAGGAGTGGGAAGAGTAAACTGAGAAGTCTTTCCAACAGAGCAGATGCTGTGTGGAGAAAGAGAGGGAAAGTGCATGCTCACATATCACTCACTGAAAGCAGTCAGTGAAATCATGTAGTTTGTAGGAAGAAAAAAAATAATCATTGAGACTTGGGAAGCAGGAGGATGAGATGTGCCAAATTCACAGCCATTTCCAGCAGATATTGTGAACAATTACACTGTAGGACTTTATACAGCTCAGGGGTGTGAGACTCTGCGAATGAAATGAGGTTACTCTTCCAGATGATCTTAGCTGCTGCTACTTGGTGTCGTAGGGTTTCCAGTGAAAACACTCAAAATATTCTCTAGGTTCTCTGGTAATGGAAACAAGTATCTTGTCAACAGGTTGTACACAAATCTTGTTACACAGGAATTGTTTTAAAATGTGGTGTCACATGAATGTCCTTGTGTAAAATTACTGATCCTATCATTAGTGAATAAACTAAAGCTTATTATGTCATGTAGTCATTATTGATTAGAGACTATAAGTGATTAGTTAATACAAGTGATCATTGATAGCTATACAAACATGGTAAGAATAAAGCAGGAATGTGCATACACTTGAGCCTATGTGCTTTGTAATTGACATTTATGTATCTTAAATGCTGTTGATTGTGGAACATCAAGTTACTAGTGCTGTAATTTGAACCTAGTTGCCATTGGTAGTGCCAGCTCTCATCATTTATTCGTTAGTTGTATTCATCTATGTTGCTAATTGTTATTGGACACTGTTCAGGAAAATCACAGGCATAGACTTTTAAAAGATTTTCAGCAAGTTATAATACACAGGAGAATTGCCAGTGAGCATTCAGATCATTTGTTTCAATTGCTTAACTCACTGCCAGACAACAGAAAACATTTGCTTTGCTTGGGTGAAGTCTACATACTAAGTTGTCTTAATATATAATTTATGGTTTTATAACATGGGAAAATATAATTGATATTCTCTTTTAGTAAAACAAAAACATCATAGCCATATATTTAATATGTTTATATATCAAAGATTAAAAGCAATTAAACACAATTTTCAGAAAAATTCCAAAACTCTCATTGAGACTAAAACAGCAATTTTAAGATGCTTTTCTATAAAGACCCTTCATAGTGTCAAGACACTGGGACTCAGTTAAGTATCAGTGTTTGTTCCTCATAAAAGTGCTATAAATTCAGATTCAAAAATGTGTAGCATTCTCCTTTTGAATTGTAGCCTATCTTAATATGTGAATAACATACTGTTTCTTGTGAGTTTGGGGTATATATTTATATATACATCAGTAAGTATGTATTGTAAACAATTATAGTTTCATTCAGGGCTTGTCTAGAAAATACATTGAAATATAATTTATGTGGTATTACACATTTGATATGTGCATACAAGCTTCAAAGAAAAGTAAAACTAAATGGGATGCTCACAAATGTTCAAAAACCAGTATTATATGTGAAATCAATACAGTTAACAACTTCAGTCTTCCATTTCATTACATTTTAGTATGTCAGTCAAGAAACTTAATGGGTTTAAATGCTCATCATTTCCAAGATGTATTTAATAGCCTTCACTGATCCCCTTGGACAATAATCTAGTGGCAAACTGCATCTAATTTCTCTCCATCTCAATTTGAGTTACCTATTTCTTCAAAAATAATGAAATGACTTCAGGATAGAAGGATAATCTATGCAAGTAACTCATCAATCACTGTCAGTCTAACCAATTACATTTTAAAGTTTCAATATTGCATTTCAGTGGAAATTCTTTGTAACACCTGTGTCTGAGGACAAGTTAAACAGTTACAGTGCAGTAAATGAAATATATTAGATGTCACTCTTTGGTTTGAGAATTGAAATTTGTGGTTTAATGTGCTTATATATTTTATAGGATAACAGCATGTCATAATAAGACCTTGTTGCATATTAACGCTGAAGTGGCATATTAGTCAAATCTTTAATGAAAGCAATCACATGCAATACAATCAGAGTGAGGACAGGATGTGAGGGAGAGGAAAGTAGTGACAGGAGAAAGGAAGAGGGGATGAGAGAGGAGGAAAGAGGAAAGAAAAGAGGGAGGAAGCCATGCTTTGATGAACTACAACAAAATGATTATAGATGGCAGAGTGACAGTCAGAAAATATGGTATTCTTGTCCCTAATCTAGCAATGGCATACATTTTGAAGAGGTCCCTGCTGCTGGATGCAGTGTGCCAATCTGTAAATGTATATTTTAAGGTGTGTGGCCATAGTTTCTGACATTTGTGTTCGTGATTCTGTGAATGGTCATAACTAATGTGTTAAAGTATCTGAGGATGCTTTTGATTCTGAAAAATCAGTGATATAGGGTCATTAAATCATGACTACTGATTGTTAATTATGTTAGAATTTGAAATGATAATGGTTCAACCTTGGAAACATCTTCAAATTTTACTCATTATTATTTTTATGCGTGCTTGCTTTCATGTATGTATGTGCACCATGTGTGGATCTTCTATCTTTAGATATCAGAGTAGAGTGCTTGAACTCCCACTGTCCTCTACAAGAAGAGCTAAGCCATTTCTTCAGACCCATATTCAATCAACATTTAATGAAAAAACAGTGTTTATAAAGTTAATATGTCTTTATACTAGATCCTTTTCACATTTCCCATTATGAGTATTTTAAGGGATTCTTGATTCATTTGGTTAACTATAATAGTATTTTGTGTTTTATGTTATGTGCTTGAGCAAGAAGGCATAGAATATATGTACAGTTGGCTACAATGTGCTTTCCTAACTCTGCAAATCCTAAATTATCATCATCATCATCATTTATTATTATTATAATTTTAATGAGCCTGTTTTCTAAAATATTGAGAGTTCCAATAATTTATCTCAAAAAGGAATTTGAATCTAGAGGTTTCAAAGAAAAACTTCAGGAGGTTAAAGCCATGCTACAGACTAAGACTACAGGATGTGCTAATGTCTTTGAGCCATTACACTGATGGTTCACAGCAGGAAATCTGAAATGGAGACAAATGTTAGTGTCAGCGAATATGCAGTTGAACATCTGAATATTTAAGGTTTTTTTCTTCTAAATGACTGTTAAGTACAATGAGTTCTAATGATCCTAAATTGTCAATTTAACAGCTATTACTTTTGAAAGACCAAAGAAATGCCTGGTTTTGAAAAAAAACAAAACAAAACAAAAACAAAAAGGCACTGTATGTTTTGTCACTAAAGTAATGACCTACAAGTCA